GTTTTTCGCGATGTAAACAGAACATTGTGTGAATAGTGTCCTTTTAAGATTGGATGCGATTCATGCGTTCATTCCGACAAGTGTGTTGAGACAACTTTGGGAGCACTTTGTATCTGTCATCCGGGTTATCAGGGGACTCGCTGCGATCAGCAAGGAGAGGTATGATTAATACTTATCGATTAATGAGTGGTCCTCACCATAACGAGAGGCCTTCGTTACACAATATTTTTGTACCGAAAATTCTGGAAAATGGAAAAACAGTAGTTTGACAGTCTCATTCAGAAGCCTTCTGGATTCTGTTTCAGCCCTGCGATTCCGTGTCCTGTACTCCTCCACTGGTTTGTCAGCCCCTAGTGGCTGTTGGTGGTGTTCGGACTACATGCAAATGCCCTATAGGATGGACCGGCCCGAAGTGCCTAGAAAATACTGCTGTATCATTCAACGAGAGCAGTCTGTTCATTCATCAAAGTCCCAGCGTCATGATAGGGTAATTTTTAAAAAATATTTGTAGAGCAATTACTTCAATACAACCAAACGGACAGTGGTTATTACAGTTTATGTATTGTGGTTGTCAAATTGTGTTTGAGTTCATTTGTTTCTTTGGGGTAGGATGATTATGTATTATATTGATTTTTGAATTACGCCCCTCAAGCGAGCAAAAGTGGCGTTCGCGCCAGTTTCCGTACCGCGCGGAGGGCGGCGATTTCGCGCGATTTTTTTACGCCCCATCCCTGCAGTTTTTTACAAATTTGGAATTTTGTCGTAATGTTCATGTTTTTTTGTTTATGATCTTGTGCATATGAGAGATTCTTATCGAACTTTTCTTGTCAGGTCTTCTTCTGGCCCTCTACCATACGCCATATCATTTGCTATGCGAACTACTGTACCTACAGTACATATCGCATCTGGCGAAAATATTTTCGGACAACAGCTGTTCTCTATTGGTCTCAATGATGGATATATAGTAGTCGCTATTCATGGAACCACGTTCAATAAGCTCATTCCATTCAACATCAACGATGGAACCTGGTATTCTGTGAGACTGGAAAAAACTGATCAGGTACATCCCCTTTTAGTTTTTGTGGGCTTAACTGGCGCCCCAGTCGGTACCTCAAGTTGTCAAAGCTTTGTGGGACACGTTTCAACTTCGCTCTTGTGTATGAGAAATCGGGCAATGTGCCGGACTTGATGTGACCGTTCTGTTCATTTCAGGATGTCCTCATTTCTGTGACTAATGAAGCCGGTTATCAATTGTTATTACGCTCATTACCCCGAATGACGTCGTTTGATGTGTTTGCGACTCGTGTTGGAAAAATTGGCGATTCAGAGCATTTTGTGGGATGTCTGGCAGATTTCAGCCTTGACAATAGCAACGCTATCGACCTTGCCATGTCCAGTAGAGGCACCGGTATCATCCACGGTTAGTTAGTATTCTTTCTTGTAGATCTTTAAGGTTTTCTTGAACTCGATATGCACTACCTTTTTTTTGAATGGACAGTTTTTGGTTTTGTAGAGGGGTGGAGGTTACTAGGAATGAGCTCCTGATGTGTTCTTCTGTAAGCCCCTCGAGTGAGTGTAATTCCCAGACCGTGATTCCTTTCTTCTCCTTTCGATGTAGGTTCACTAATCGTGTACTTACTCATGACTAAACTAGTAAACTGGCCACGAAGAGGATATTGTTGTCTTATCACGGCCAGAATTTGGATCAGTTTGAGTGTTTGGTGATATTCTGTTTCACAGTATACGCTAGGGAACAAATTTCCTGGGAATTGATCTGGACGGCTTTGGGACAACCGTAAGGGTTGTTATTGCTTCCTGCAGGATTCACTAACCAGTGCCCGGTTTTAATACTGCTCTGACAACTACCTTTCTATCAGTGTGGTGCGGGTTAGGTGGTACCAGATTGGATCTCGGCTGGATGGTACTATTTACCCCGAAAAGCGTATTATTTATTAAATTTCAATTTATATACCTCCAGTATCTTCAATGAGGGGGTGAGTGCATGGCGCATCTTTGAAGAAAATTGCTCGATACAGTCTTGTTTATTTGTGTCATCTTTTGTGTGTGTGTTTTTTTTACCCAGGTTTACTGACTTATTAATCTACGGCAGGTGGTTCGAAATGCTAAATTTGATGCTTTCAGGATGTAAGCATACGGTACAGTGTTCCAAGAATCCTTGTCTTAACGGAGGCACATGTCTGGACTTTTGGACACACTCGACATGCGTATGTCCGGCCCCATTTCTTCCGCCATTATGCATGAATTCACTTGCGCCCAGTACTTTCGGTCACCTCAACAAAACATCATTCGCTGAGATAAGGTTGGTTGACTTCGAAGTTCTAGACACTTGATAATTTGAGGTGTTATTTTTCAGCATTTCACCTGAGATGTCCCAAAATCTACGGTTCTCCACTATTATCCAAGTTATACTGAGATCAAATCAGCCAAATGGTACTGTGGTGTTTCTTGGTGAGACAGGGGATGAGTTGGCTACATTCATATCCGTTTCGCTGGTGGATGGACATGTCGTAGGTGAGTTTTTCTTACCATTCGGCTCACGGGTCAGCTAGAAATTCTTAGTAATGTGCACAGATGTGAGTTCTGGGCGCTGTAGCGCGGGTCAGGATGCGCCAGAAGGTCGTCACTTGTGCGGCGGCCGGGGCACATCCTGACCGCCACTCATGAGCGTTTTGTGCGTTCAGCACAATATTTTAAATTAGTGGCTCCCACAAATCTATGCTCATTCAATGGAAACTTCATCTTAAACCTTTCACCTTGCCATTTTCCTTGAGTTTGGACATTTACAGTGCGCTCACGTGCTGGAGGTAAATCCGTCCACGAGTTGAAGTCGCACAGGCTGGTCACCGACAACAAGGACCATATTATACGTGTACGACGTCAGAGGAGACACATCAAGGTGAGCTGTTATACTGGTAGATTGTAGTTGACGAAAAAGTAATTGTTCGATTTTTCAGCTTGAAATTGACGAAATCCTTGATTCGGAAGGGACAATACAGTCACGATTTGATCATCCATTATTTGCTGAAAGGCTCCAGCTGAGCAGCAGTCGAAATGTCACTGAAGATGCATTCACGAACAAGAAGGCTTTCAAAGGTTTGTCAAAAAATGAAGTGGTTAACAGGTGCTTGACTCGGTCGCTGGACTCAATAGAGCGAGAATCAGTGGAGCAAAAAACCGGCCGATAGGTCCGGTTACTGATGACTGGAGTCAAGGCTTTTGACAACATCGGAATGAACTCCGCCTGTTTGAATAGGGTCATCGTTGTAATCATGAACAAAGTGTGGTTTCGAATTCCGATTTCCGAAAAAAGTTGTGCATGAGAGTTATGGGATCTGCTTCACTTCCATCCATTCACGTTCCGAAGTTCCTCCGTCCGAAAGCGTGTCGTGAACGGTTTTTCCAAAGCAAAGGCTTCAGCAATATCAGGCCATATTCTCACTGTTATCATTCGTTTTTCTTTTACCAGTAACTGATCGACAAATCGGGAAAACTGAGTGTGACTTTTCAGGCTCTCTGCAGGATATTCGAGTCAATGAAAAGTCGGTTGTCCTTCACGAACCGGCGTCATTCTCCGTAGAACGCCTTGGCAATGTTGCGAACCTCGAAAACGTTCTCGAAGTTAGTTGCTTAACAGTTGTTTTCCTTGAGGTCAGAAGTTTGAGTTTCATACGCTCATACGACTCATACGAGTAGGTTTGTTGCCACTGATGCATTTATTTGCTGATTGTGCCGCATCGCAGCCGCGTGCGTCCTAGACCAGCGCGACTCTGTAAAAAACGCTTTCCTATCATTATTATATTTGTATTATCAGTTGTTTTCAGGGTACGATTTCTGATGATGTCTGCAGTATGAGTGAGCAGTGTGTTCATGGGTCTTGCTTCAACACTTTCAACGATTTCGAGTGTCGTTGCGAAAAAGGCTATTTCGGTAGACGATGTGAGCGAAAGGATCATTGCCTCGATTCGCCTTGTCCAAACGGAGGAGAATGTGAAAACGTTGGCGAAGGATTCCTTTGTAAGATTTCTCTTTTAAGAACCAGTGTTTCTATCTGAATATGTAGAAGGTGCAACAAAAGGTGTGAACTCGGCGTCGCGCGGTTTTTCCGCTAATCGCACGCGGTTTATTTACCTGCAGACTGTTTGCTGTACTTTACAGTAATCTTTTAACATGGAATGCTAATGGTTGTTCTTTAGGCACTTCACCAGTCACCATTAAGACAGTCAGTGTTGTTACTTTCAAAATGTCCGAACCCGTAGAAACCGGCTCGGTTGTAAAGCTGTCTATACGGACCCATTCTGAGGATGGACACATTTTGACCCTGGTAAGTTCCTTTACTTTTGTAGAATAAGTTACTGCCATTGTTGAAATGGTTCATCTAGGAATCAGAGGAAAAGCCGATCACATTGTCTTTGGAAAATGGGCAGCCCGTTGTCACTGGTGTGGTTCCGGTGCCGATTAGGAAGACAATTGCCGATGGACTATGGCACACACTCGAACTCAATGAGAATGTCCTCTATGTGGATTCAGCGAGCTATGGTAGGCCGTTCATAGAGACCTGTCACTTATACTTGTAGTTTTACAAGGTATGGCGAGTAACTTTTTGGTATCACCTGTTAACTCTTATGTATCTGAGTGTCTCCATGGGAGCGCACGATCGCGGTGGGGAGCAAGCGCCGTGACCATGGTTATTATGAGTAGAAGTATCACAAAGTGAAAAAAGGCGAAAACCAGCAGCGCTCATTGTACCGCTCCGCGACCGCGCGCTCCGGCAGAAATTGCGGTATCGCTCTCCTTTCACGCGCGCGTTCGACCATAAACACCCAAAATATCGCTACGGAAGGGTTATATATCGCTTTCTAATTGAAACGTTTTTTTAGAAGTTCTGAACAGATTCCATTCTGTTTAGGTCTTCCCGAAATGGTGCAGCTGCCGTCTCGAATCCACCCGGTCTCTTTACAGTTCGGAGCCGTTGATGGTGCGTCATTCGATGGTTGCCTGAAGAACATTACCGTCGGTGACCTTCCACGTCTTTCTTTCTATAAAGAAGATGAAGTGGGGCAACCCGGCAACGTTACTCATTGGATGATCGACAAACGCCTCAAGGTAGGTATGGTTTACGTAAGCCGACTCACAACTGATGCAAGTGATCAGGCCACTCGCGTCCAGGGCATCAAACTATTTACTGTTTTGCTTACTGCTTTGTTGTTTAGATTGCAACGGGCTGTCTCTCATCGCAACAATGCGGAGATGCTTCACCTTGTATCCGAGGTGAATGCCATGACTTATGGAACGCCTACGCATGTGAGTGTCCTCATGGATTCGAAGGAGCACATTGTGAAGTGAAAAGGGACGAGTGTTCAAAAATCGAATGTGGAAGAGGGCAATGTGTTGGTGGAGTTGAAGGACCAAGGTAAACATTGTCACTACTTCTGGTTACACTTTTTTTTAGAGCAAAGTTAGATCCGCGCAATTGTGCGAACTGTCGCGGGGCGGCTCGTTCCAAAGGGTGGCTATTGATTAGTAAACCACAACCTCTCTGCGGCCGCGTACGCGATTGTGCAAGACCTTCTTCGTCCTTGTGCGGCTTCGCGGCGTACCAAAACTTAATTTTTCGCTGTCTTTGGCCTGAAAAGTCGTTGTTTTGATATCAGATGCCGTTGCGACAGCGGGTTTACTGGAGAGGCTTGTGATGCCGAAATGGATTTGTGTTCGTTGATTCCTTGTAAGAATGGCGGTCTGTGCTCCAGTTCCGATGGAAACTACACATGCGAGTGCAAACCAGGATGGACCGGAAAATCTTGTGATATTCGGGTAGGTTGTAATTGCAGAACGTATTTGAAGTCGCTGTATTTACAGTTTCTAGAAACTGCTAACTGATCAACTTTTGCTATAGTTACTCAATAAATCTCACTAAGTCTGATTGTGTCTCTGTTAGGTCCACTTGATTCAGACCCCAATTTTCAGCCTCACTCACTTCAAAAAAGGTGACAGCATACTGTAGATCATTATTTTGCGTAGATGTGTGTCAGTGGGTTATCTGTGGTTGGTGGTTGTGGCAGCCAATCACAGCCTTTCTATGCGCTAAGTCGCCGCTAAGCTTGAACTCTCCCTTGTTCTGTGAATATAGGTGTCTTGGGACCTTCCAGCCCTTTTTAGGACCCTTCTACCCGCCTTGTCATGTGATTCATGTTTTGTCGGATTTTAAGATGATGTGCTTTTAAAAGAGCAACTTGTATTTTCAGGATCAGCCAGTCTGCTACGACGGAGTTTGTAAAAACGGCGGCACTTGTGAGCCAGTGAGTGATGGTTTACCTAGATAATTTATGAATTAACTGTATTCTTTAATCAAATTCCAATTCAGGATGTTGCTGGTGGCATAAAATGCGTTTGCAAAGCTGGGTTCTTTGGGCGGTTCTGTGAGGAACGCGTGAATCCTTGTGAAAAGAGGCCGTGCGACCATGGGTACTGCAAGCCGTCAGCTTCAGGCGATTTCGAGTGTGAATGTGAAGAAGGTAATTGTACTTAGAACAGCATCTGTATCAAAAAAAGTACCTCGTTACATTAGTGAAACTACTTTGAACATCAATTATGTAGCGCATTGCGCGCTAGTTGTGCTGCTATTGGCTGGCATCTTATACCGCCAATCACAGATGCCTGGCGCAGTCGCCGTTGCCTTAGATTTCAATCTTGGTTTTAATGTTTAGTAACAGTACTCGAAACAATGTTTTATTACACTAATTTTCCAGGGTATACTGGCAAAACGTGTTCCGAACTTTCTGATATGTGCACGTCAACTTCTTGTAATGGTCGCGGACGGTGTACGCCTGTATGGAATGCGACAATGTGCACTTGTGACAAGGTACGAGTTCTCTACATGGGGCTTAGTGGTAGCGATAGGTGTACGGAAAATGGCACGTGCATTATTGTACAAAACACTTCCCGTGAAAAGACGTGGTCACGATGCGGCGTTATTTGGAGGGTCACTAGGTGCCACAATACTGTTTATCGATTGATTCAGGGTGCCGCTTCGACTCGTCGCGTGCTTTTTTTTTGAAAAATTACTGGTTTTGAAACGGCTTTAGTTAAGTTTGCCATCAGTTCTCATTCACTCTCTATTGTAGTGGCACTTCAAAAAATATTGACACGTAAGTAGCGGGGCCAAGCACTACAACAGGGTATGTTCAGTACAGTAATACTACTACTTATAGCGCTGGAGAGGAGCTGCCTGCACCCATCTTGTTGACGAATGTTTGTTTATCCCCTGCGAGAACGATGGCATCTGTGAAACAACGGAACAAGGCTTCAAATGCCATTGTAAGAAGTACTATCTAGGTAAGTTTTTTTAGTCAGTGCGATAACCAGTTCAACATAGCTTGTAGTTAACAAAAGTGGAATGTGCTATTTTAGGCGACCGATGCGAACTACAAGGTACTTGCCTTACACACCCATGTGAAAGAGGCGAATGCGTTCAACTGTCATATGATAGTCATTCTTGCAGTTGCCCGAAAGGCTACGAGGGAACGCGATGCGAGGTTTGTGAGCGTTAAATCACGAAAAGTGACATAAGGTTGCTCACGTGTATAAGGGTATTCGAAGTACCGCTACAAGTTTTTATGGTTTGAATTCCATTTTGGTACGAACGCCTGCTGCGCGTCGTCGTTGATGGCTCGATAAGCGCGACACCGCTTCTTATCGATCCGCTGGCCATGTCGCTACGCAACCGCGCGCTTTCTAGGCATGTGCTACCACTGAGCAGTTTGAACCGCTCAATTAATAGAGGCGTGGATCACTGAAATCACAAATTAGGCCCTAACTTAAACGCTGATTTCGATAGAATTCACGTTTCCAGTCAACCTATTTACTCGATTTGCTTTATTTACAGACACGTATAGATTACTGTAAGAGGAACCCTTGTCTCAATGGCGGATCGTGTGAATCACTATTTGGAGAGCACAAATGTCACTGCATCAGTGGTTTTACAGGTGATTCTTATCTGTTTTTGAGTTCAATTATAGGACGACTGTGTTCTTTTGAAAGACGCGCGCGGTCGCGATACGGGTAGATTGTCCGTTAGATGAATGGTCATAGTCTAGTCTAGTCATTTCTATTGCTCCACAAATGGCGCAAAAGGATATTCAGATCCGAAGAAGTCAATTCTTCAGGAACAAACTGTGAGACAGATATCGATGAATGCCTTCTCGGCTTCTGTGCCAATGGGGCCAAGTGCCGTGACCGCATCGCTGACTACGAATGCATTTGTGACGGAACAGGATTCAGTGGTGAGTGGTGCGAAACTTTATTTTTCATAATATTTGAAAGGTTTAACTGTCCGTTTTGTGAGTTGGCAAATTGGTTTGAGCTAGTTGACTGGTACGTGCCCCTTGCCCTCACAGTCCCAACATGTTAGGGTCCAGTAGTCTCAGTGATACGTACTATTTCATTCTTATGCTCTTCCTATTTCATTCTTATGCCCTGAAGTATCGTACCAGCAATCAGGTATAATTAGCGGTGTAAATTCGCAGACAGATGTCGGTATTTCTTAGAAATGGGTAACCTCTAGCGAAATGATCTCATAATCCCCTTCTACTGCTGCGTTAATAAGGCCGTTATTCTCGATTACTTATACTTGACTTGTACTTCGAACCTCTTGAGGGCCTGAAGTGATCTAAGCTCAAAAAGAAATCGGAAATAGAAGGTCGCAATACTTTTTTAGTACAAAATTTCGGGTTCAAGGTAATATCGATGCGNCCGATCCCTACCAACAGTAGTAAAGTTTACCAACTAGTCTTCAGGTGCACTCAGTGACGTCGTTTGCCCTACAATCTCTCGGGAGTTCTGTATACGGTACTTTTCGAAAATTTCGAGTTTACAGGAAAAAACTGCACAGACGACATCAACGAGTGCAGTGTAGCGTCAAATTGTGTGAACGGCCAATGCACAAACACAAGAGGAGGTTACAGATGTGACTGTGAGAAAGGTTTGCGACGTCATACTTGTATCATCAACCAGTTTTTGAATATACTGTAATTGATTGTTTAGGTTTTATTGGCTCACGTTGTACTGTAAGAGATCCATGCAGGCCTGACTCATTCAATCGAACTACACACACTTGTGTTCATGGCGTATGTATCAACCCAGTGGTCAAGGTAAATCATTTCTGTCTACTCCCCAGTACTCTTGCACAGTACGAAGATTGTAGTCGAGTTCGGCTTCTGGATTCTACGTTCGTGCCCCGAAAAGTAAGTGGTAGGGGAACAGTACTCAGTAGTTTTTCCCTGAAAAACTTCTCGAAACCGCTGAGTGATGTCTCGGTTTCTTGTTCCCGGATGCTCCTAAAAATTCTCCCACAGTACGGGTTTAGTACTTCCATCTGCAGAAAATTTATAAGTAGTACGTACTCTTCCATATGGGGTCATTGAAAACTTTCACACGTCCACTGAGATTACAACGAGATCCGAAAAGTGGAAGACGGTTGGTGAGAATGGGTTTTCCCATCTGTTCCGTCTTTGGGACCTCGGTAGCATGAGCCGAATAGTAGGCTCTCTTGGAAAACGACTCTTAGAAGGGATTTACATAGCTAGGCTTCACATTTCTAATGCTTTTGCCAGCTTTGGGGGCTTGAAGATGTTGAAAAGTTGGTTCTTGCAAATTGTTTGAGCGCTTCTTATGTCTTACTGTATTTCGTTACAAGTTGACACCTGTTTATACTCCAAGGCTTCATTGCAGATAGATAGTGCTGGTCGTGAAACTGCTATGCACGAATGTAAATGCAGCCGTGGTTATACAGGACCGCAATGCACAACTCAGGTGGGTTTCCTATGTTGTTGCACGACAAGTGGGCGTGTTAGCACGTGCGGTCGCGTCGCGGTTTTTCGTCCAACTTTCTGCGGCAACGCGTCGCGACTGCACGCGGCATAGATGTGCTGTTTGCTTTGCCCGCGTTTTTACCCTTCCAACTTGTATTTAGTGTCAAGCTTTACAGTGAGAACCAGTTTTCAGGTGTCAGAACGGAAAGTTCTGGGTGTGAGCTACATACTCGGACCAATGGCAGCTGTGTTAGCAGTACTTACCATTCTTGGTTGTGTATTGCTAGCTTTTGTGTTCCGAGGAAAACGCGCTCTGCACGGTCACTACAGTCCCAGCCATCAGGAACGTAATGGTGCCCGAGTGCAGGTCGGTCTAGTCTTTAGCCGCCATTGATGCCCTTCTTCTACTTTGTGCTCATGTTCAGATGAATTCCATGGTTAAGCTGCCCCCTGAAGAACGGTTAATATAGATATCTAGCATAATATTGAACTTGTTATACATTGTTATATATATGTATGTGCTTTATAGCCGTTATGTTGTCATATGCTCCATTGTCTTCCTACTCAAAATACGGGTAGTATTTGAATTGTATAGATACATGTAAAATAAATATATCTTCACTTGAAAATGTGAACTGTCAAAGATCTCGGTCATCTCCGTCAATACCAGTAGCTTCATTCGAGTGTTTCTCCCATTTGGGACCTGCATCGAAGCGTCTGGGAGTAGGCAATCAGAAATCTTGGCAGCCGGTCAGAATTGTCGATAGAATTTAGATTTGCTGAAGGTCAAGGGAAGTTATTCATTGAGTTTATATCCTGAGTCGTACGAACCTGTACAGAGTATCACTGATCCGCCCTCAACGCGACGCAATTTTTGCTAGTTGCCTCGATGCTCGGCATGCCGTTCGGGACTTTTGCAGGTCACGCTCTTGTGGTATGCGTACAAAGGCTCTAACGGTGGTCATAAAAATGTCCATATAAAACGATATGAAGTTTTTCTCATAAACTGGCAGTAATGACCACGACCCGTAAATAATGGCTAGCATTGAAACTCAAAAACTTTTACACTTTGAACATGAGTCCACTACCGTCTTCTACGTATCCTTCTTTGGAATTCTCGCATTATTCGTCATTCTTAGTACTTGTTGATTATGTGCTATGTTTAATTTTGGTAACCGTGTTTTTCTATTTTTTGCTGTATTTATAGTGCACCTTCCAAAGGTCCTTTTTTACGGTCTATCACCTGAACGTGATCTCGTTACCCATTATTCTGGCGTGACTGTAGGAAGAACCAGTTTCGATGAAAAACAATTCATTTCTGATCAAACTCTCTTCAAACCGAATGGGCAGTGGGAGAAAGAATGTGACGTTTCACACATTACCAGTATGTGGAAGCTTCTCCAGACGTACAATGGCAGTAAGAAGTCAGCTTGAAAGGCTACAACGGGACGGATAACAAATGACCTGCTAACCTTATGATGTGACAATGAGACGCGGGGTTTTTGCAAGGTAGCCGTGCTGCGATAAAAAAATTGGACTATGATCGATGATAGATGAACAAAAAAAGTTGTCTCATGCAGAGAAAAGTTTCCTGATGCAATTTGCCTATCGATCGGCACGTACGATCAGCCGCACCGTGTCTGCACGCGCCCGAACACCTGAGGGTACTTCGCCACTGAGGGTTCTCTGTCACAAAACAGGTTGAGGTTCCTTCGTGATGCTTAGCTTTTGCTGGATGAACTCATGCTGGAATAGTTTTGTACTGGAGAATACTACATCTCGGGAGACGGGTAGTAGGAACGGTTTTGTGCAATCGATCCGCCGCGCGCGGCAGTCGCGGACTTGTTGCCTCTCTATTGCAGTTCTAGCGTTCTTTATACAGCTCAATCGCTATGCGATTATTACTTTTGCCATGATTCTACTGTTTATCCTATTGTTCCTGTATTTCTCACTTACTGCTGCATTCTGCTACATTCCTTCGCGCAGCCGTCTCTCTAGCCGCGACGCGACAATTTCGTTCCTACTGTACCACACCCCTACCTCTCAAACCGGACGAGTGAACCACAAGTTCACGTTTTCATTCAGTTATGTGCGATGTTGTGTTCAATCGTGAGACTTACATTGTAAGAATAGTCAGATAAGTTGTAACTACATAGTAGTCTGAACATGTGTTCAGTTGTTCTGGATGTGAGCGATCGAGGGCGATAAGGCGAGAGCCCAGATTGGCGGGCCGCTTGCAATCGCCCCGTCGCCATCGCTCGCCCATGCCGGTCGCTGTTTTCGTCGTTCATTCGCCATGCGCCGCGCGTCTCATTCGGCCACAATGCGCGGTCGGGTGCTGACCCTCGACGCGGTCTGCTCCACGGTCGTCGGCCTCATCCTCTTCTTCAGCCCTCACTTTGTCGCCGATTTCATATTTGTAAGTCGTCTTTATTTTTTATACATATATGATCATCAAGTCGGATTTTTTTGTTTCCAACTGCGCCCTTTCCACTTCTCTCATCCGATTTCTGACGGGATTCATTCTATCTGAGGAAGTCCCACTCCAGCCATCTATTGAGGATCGGCGGTTGTATCAAAGATGGCCTTCCCGAACCCGGCGCCCTAATTCTGATTCATTCATTTGCGGTTGTAAGGGGAAAGGTCATTGCCGTACATTGAATAGATCGATTCTGCGGTTAGTGCATCGTAAATCCTGATCGATGGCGGAAAACTTTGGGTGTCATTTTCGACCGCATCAAGTTCAATAGAGGGTGAGGGCAATCTACCGTTACCAGTTACAGTAATACCACTCACTATTCTTCTTCGTCTGTTCTATATTAACTAGGTCCGACCAGTCCTTCCAATGGGTCAACGTTTTTGTAAATTAGCCCGAACGAAGAGGAAAAAACGGTTTCAACGTTCCAACGTTTTTCTCACGGGGTTCAGCGATAGCGGCCCTCACAAGGCTCAGTCATCCGAATAAGGTCAACGACGACTGGCTCACACTTTGGCTGACCCCAATACTATCTGTGATGATAAATTACTACTTTGGGTGTACTTTAGTCACGTTTTATTCATGTTTTGATCGCGGGTTTTACTCGGTGGCGTACTCACAGATTTATGGGTAAGATCATGTGCTAGGGGTCAAGCTTGGCGTCAAGACGAAAAGTGGCTCTGTCGACCTTCTCCTTCCAAACCGACCAAATGCGACTTCCTTCAGGGTGGATTCCTCCAAGTAAACCCTTTCTCAACTTACTTGTTACAAGCAAGAAAGTTTCCCCGTCAGTCTGGCTCCCTGAACCTTTTCGAGACAGCAAAGGTCTCATGCTCACCTTTCGAAACGGCATCGACAGGAAGGAAAAGATGGGAGGTGGGAGGAAAAAACAGATATATGACAGATCAGACATGAGAAAGTCATTAATACTATCAAACCGACCACGTTCGCAATTGCGCAAATCGACCAAACTTCAAGGTAGATGCCTTTAGAGGGCTACCGACCTTTGAGACAGTTTTAAGACCCTTTTTTTCGAAGGTAAAAAAGTTAAAGAATTCCTGGAATTTTGATCTCAGATTTCTTTGACATGTCATATCGTTGAGGGCCTTCTCATTTCCCTTGCTATCAATCATACTCATCGTTTTTGAGCATTTAGATCGTCGATGATTAGATGACAGATATCAGGCTCTCGAGATCTCATCTAAAGGTCTCTAGGTCAATCGATACCTACTATAGAACCGCAACTAGTATTTTTGTAAGGAAGTGAGTAATCCTAGGGAATCTAGAGCTAGGATTAAGCATGTCTGGAACGTTAAGCGTTGACGGATACCCTACTGGGCGCTCCATACATTCGGCTTCCTCTCAAGAGTGAGGTCAGAGTTGAAGGCCTTTCTGATGAATTCTGTAGATCGTGTAGGTAATGTTGATCTATATAGTAGTCAGTGTCTTCATTCCTTCATGCGAATCTAGGGATTCCAGAGGAATCAAGTAGTTCGAAACGGTTTTTCTNTGATTCACCGAAGAAGCGCACACAAATCGGGCCCCTTGATTTAGGTGAAACACTCAAAGTTTGGCTACTCATTAATCAATTAACTAAAACAACCAGAACTAACTACTGCTTTAGTGCAATTTGTTGGCTGATCAGACATCGATGGCACCAAAGTTCTCTTTTTTCCATAGTGATCCGGTCTTATGTCATCAACTTCTTCTCGCGTTACTTTGTCTACTGCATTACTCTCATTTACCATAACTTCCATCAGCCGGTTCACCCGGTTTTTCTCTTTTGATCGCTTATCCAATTTGAACCTAATGTCTCTCATTTGTCTGGCTGTCTAACAGTCTGTCAGCCAACTGCCAAGCAGCCAAGCAGCCAGCCGCCAGCCAGCCAGCAGCCAACCGCCAGGCAGCCAGCAGCCAACCGCCAGCCGCCAGCAGCCAACCACAAGACAGTCGGCAGCCAAGCGCTTGTCAGCCAAGCGCTTGTCAGCCAGCTAGCCAGCTAGTTAGCCATCCAACCTGTCTGTCTGTCTGCTTGTATTCCCTGGGTCTGCCAGTCCCTCTACACCTATTCTAGTTGAAGTTACTCTTTCAACTGTCCAACTTCTTACTGTCCTGACTCACCGCTAAACCTCATCATCTGACTGTCTCTCCACCTATTTCTTCATCACACTTTTTTCGGCGTTCACTCTCTTTCCTGTCTTGATTATTATCGAAAATCTAGTTCTTCCGTACCGTCTTCCCCTCCTTTCGGCTTCCGCGTGCCTACCTTTCCTTGACAGTCCCACCCTAACCCAAACCTTTTGATTATTGAACTTTCTGAGGCCACTTCTTCTGATTGTTTATTGCCTTTCATTTTAGATTCTCTATTGTTTTCTTACAGCAGTTGCTATTTTCCACGTATCCTGTTTGCCACCGCAATCCAACCCTATCCAGTTTGACCGCACGTATTCGAATAATCGCCACCAATTGAATAACTGGTTACCATTCACAAGTCATTCCCTGTCACTGATCAAATTGCCTGACATCTTCATCAATCTTTTTCTTACCTCCTACGACTCTTTAGTGTCCTAGCACTTCATTTGTCATTCTGAAACAAGAACGGAAACGGGGCGCCTTTTAGATACTCACGATCGCAGGAATAAATATTGCACATGGAACAGAAGAGTCTTTACTCTTTCCGGTATCAAGTTACCAGGTTAAAACTAGGGAATCAGTGGAGGTTTTAAAAAACTGATTGAGTATCAACTATATTCCCACAAGCCGTTGGTATGGACCATGTACTCATCAAAATGAATCATAAGCGCCACAAGTAGTGCGAGAGCATGGCTTATCCTGGATTGAAGGGAATGAGGGGCTATTCGTCAACAGCACACATAAAACCCAGAATAAGTAGAACGCTTACGATTGAGTAATGATTCGAATTTTTCAGAAACGGCAGTCAGACGGTGTTCATTGGCATTTGGTCCGATGTGTTGGAGGCCAACTTCTTGCAGGCGCTTTTGTGTCGTACCGTTTTCGAAATGCCAGTTCAACTGCTCATACAGTATGCTTTATACTGCGTATTGTCGTAAGTTATTTACTTGTTATTTTTTGTATTTATGTTGCACGCTACTACCAGTAGACAACATTTCACAAGAGAGCAATATTTATTTAATTACAGCCATCCATAATTTGCCTCATGTTGGTCTTCCAATGCCGTTCCATGACGCCTAAGTTGATCGAACCAGCGGTAAGTCTAGTTTTTGACTGAAATTGTGCCTTCGACATTTCAATTTCAAAAAAAGGTATTATGCAAGGGCGTACGCGGTTACAGCTACTAAGTGTTGGGTTGGTCGCTCATCGATCAATCAGACTGCCGTGGCGTAACCGCGCGCGCCCTTGCCAGTGTACTAGACTCTTGCCGTTGCTTTGCAATTTTGATAATTTCTCTTTTAGTACCTCGAACTCGCGAAGAATTTCCTCTTTGCTGGACTCTTTTTCAATGCTGCGCTACTACTCGCTTCGGGCTGGCACGTAGGTAAGTGATTGAAGTGATTGTTTTTCTTGTGTTTCTGATGGAGAATTGCCTATGTGGATTCTCTACAATACTACAAGACGTAGTCTAATCGATAAAGAATGGTTCTACCGCGGCTTAGCACCTCTGGCCACGGCCGCTCTTGTTGTAAAACCATAACTGCCGGTAAGGAGATGTCTTGGAAGTTGTAAGGTGTTAGGGAACAAGACCGAAGGCGAGGATCCTGCTCAAGATCGTGTTCTTGAAAGGACAGCCAACAGTTATGAAACTGAGCCAACACTTTCGAGAAAGGTTTGCTATGTCAAAAAGGAAGTTTGTACATACTATAAGTTAGTCGGAGGGTAAGGTATGACAAAAGGTCCTGATTTTCGTGAAGATTCCCCTCAGGATATGCGTCTAGGGTCTCGCTGTAGGAGTGGCACTTGACACCACCCCGCATTCAGACAAATACTATGAAGATTGGTTTTGGAAGACCTCATCCAGAACGGAAGGGAATGCTACGGAAGCGAGCGTGTTGCGCCGCGCCGCTTGATCAATCGATACGCATCGCGCAGGCTTTCCGGAAATGTCACAGTTGCGACACGACGCGTGACTTCAGTAAAGTACCTCCGGCTTCTTAAGGGACCGATATACCATTCTTACTAACACACTTATCTATTACTGAAGTTATCATTTCTGAAATATTTTTTCAGTTCACGAGGCGGTTTCAGGCACGACCTTGCAAGTTGATAATAGACTGGGTAACTGCCTTTACCAGTTGGATGCTATTGCTTCCATATGTATTGGAGTGGCTTGGTTGACATTTCCGAAATGGCTTCTGCATAGGCAGGTAAGATCAAAGACGATTTTTTCACGACTTCTAATGAACTCCCTACTCGTCCAACGGGAGTATTCATCAAAGCAGTGGAAAAAAATTTATGCATATCTCTTTCCAGGTTACGGTACCATTGGACGAGTCTCACGAACTATGTGGACGAATTATGGGAGCGCTTTTCGTCACTTCATATGCTGTGGCCACACATGCGCTTCACTGGGAAGACAAGGACGATCGAATGGTTGCCATTGACGGACGAGTTGTCGTGCGTTTTTTTTGGCAAAAGGGCGCCGTATTCCTTTACACGTATAAGTTCTGTACTCATTACTATTTCAGTGTTGTCTCTGCATACTTTCCGCTCAAGTTTGGTCACAATTCGCCTACCTCGAATCGTGGTCAGGTGGACATTGGGTTGGTATCTCCTTATTCTCTACCTGGACTGTGATCTCCGTCATATACCGTCTTGCACTTTTCTGTAAAACCAAAGCAAAAAAATTGTAATACTGTTAAAATTTTATATTGTTTGTTGTATTTTGTGGTTTATTCGTAACAGAATTTTCCCGACATTGTCTGCGTTTGACACAGAAATAAAATATTTTTTTTATTGAGATTGTTCTAGAAAAATACTGGGAGCGAAGCACACGATCCTGTTGTCAGTACTTCTTCCCGAATTCCCACGGCGGGCGGTAGTGCTTCCGCGGCGACTACCGTATCATTTCACTGGGAATTAAAACCTTTCCCTTCATAGCGCGCGACTGGGTGCGGCGAACGTGACGCGATTTTCGGGGAGAAGATACCAAACCCGAGTAATTCAAAGTTGCCGAGTCGAAATTAGTACATAGCCTTAAGAACTTAGCTCCTATTATCAGTTACTTTTTGTGGGCTTTGCGTAATTCTTACCTAACGACCGCATTAGTGTCTCATGTCTCTCTTTTGTTCACCTAATTGAGTGGGACGTCGGAGACGATGGGACCGCAGAAGGATGCATAGTTAGCTGGCATCCTTTGACGGTCGAGCTTATGGGGAGTTGTTGCAAATGGCCTAGAGCGTTCGAGTGCTAGGTAAGCCATGGGTCAGGAACTTCGAACTAATTTGTAGTTAAAGACGACGATTTGATCGAAAAGTCGACCATATAAAACGGTCCAATCATATCAGCTTCTACGGGGAGCAGTACAATACAAATACATTTTTTACATTTATAAAATATACAAGTCGTTTTTTTCTACGCGAATTTCAAACTGACTGAGCTTTTCATGCAGTGTGAACCGTTCTCTGGGAAGTATTTGTTGGGCAATGTTCCATCTTTTTGGAAAAGGGTCATAGAGGCTGTGCCTAACAGTGATGGTGCACTTCTGAAGGATGTGAAGCGGGACTAGCCGTGGGTGTAGGGGAAAGTGAGGAAAAATAAAATAGTCGCTTTGTGGATGAACTGGTTACACCCATCAGCGCCAACCAGCTTTTCAGCAAGATCTCTTCCTCGCGCATTTGTTTCGTCCAATGGCTGAGCTCCCATCTTCACAAAGTCTGTCGTGAACAGACTTCTGTCAAAAAATATCGAAGTAATCTAAATGAATCTGCTTTAAGCAGGAGTTGAAAACCCCACCCCTTTTGAAGTTTGATTGAGATCAGTCCCGCATTTAGTCCCATATGTAGTACACAATTTTGTGACTGGGTGGGATTTAGTAGCTAAACAGTTTGGTTACCAGTTTTCATACTTCATATACGGTCAATAAGGAAGCTCGACCGCATTAATTTAAGATCTATATCTCCCACTTTTACAGATTCCCTTTGCGATTCCATCCGATTCGATCGACGATCTTCGACTCGCTCCATTTCCGTACTGAAAAACACAAAAAATTTTGGAACGCTTCACGAATTTGCGTGTCATCCTTGCGCAGGGGCCATGCTAATCTTCTCTGTATTGTTCCAATTTTAGTATATGTTCAGGAATGAACGGTTTCCATGTTAAGGCCGTTCAATAAATAGCGGTGAGTTATAGAGCGCCGTATGTCACTCGGCAACAGATAATTGCACAGCACATTGCATTGACCCGGTACACCTCTACTATCTGGGTGGTTCGAAAGTAAAACACCTCAGCTAGAGTTGGCATGTTCTTATGCTGCTATTATTACCTCCACTTCAATTCATTGTGTAGGCTAGGTATGCATAAAGAGCACCCTTACGGTTTTGAATGAAAATTTAGTGCACGGCTTAAACCAGAAATGAGATTGATCACGCCAAAAAAATATTTTGAAGAGATCGTTATAGATCAGTCTGAATCAGTTCTTATCATTGGATTCCAGTCTCAGACAACTTCAAATGGTTTTGATTCACCAAGGGTGCTGGAATGAGATAGGAATAGCCCCTACGTGTCTTGTATCCCGAGTGTCCAGGGTGTTCAGAACACTGAGTAGTAACACTGGCAGAGCTTCTCCTACAGACGACTCTTGTATGAGGGGTTAAAATGAAACAGACATTCTATTGAAAAGGAACTGCCCGATCTTTATGTGGAAAAGACTGAGTGCATTGTTTATTTTGGAACTTCATAATATTTTGTTGAGAGTTCTCTGAAATTTCAAGGACATTATACAAGCATGGGATGAGATGGTGTAGCGACAAGTGGGGCACTATCATACACGTGTGGATGGAGAACCGAATCACGGATCGATACTCGCCCAGGCCAACGTCTGGTCCTCCGAGCTCGGTTGATCAAGGCTCATCTGGGAGAATGGAAGCAGTGACTTTAATACTGGCTGGTCGCCGCAATTCATTGTGTAGGCTACATATGCAATCAACACACCCTTACGGTTTTAAATGGAAATCCAATGCACGGCTCATTCCAGGAATAAGACCGACTATCGCCAAAAGTCTTTGTAGGGGACCGTTATATATTAGCCTAAATTGGCATTTATCAGTGAAATCCAGTTTCAGACAAAATCAAATGGTTTTGTTCACCAGACAATGGCCTTCTGGGTAATGACTCTTATTCAAAACCGATGCTCCGAAAAAAAAGAGCTGCAGTTTCTACTAAACAATGTAGTGTTCATGAGTCTTTTCAGTTGTCTAGGCCTTTTCACTATTAATCTGCCAAAAATAGGAGAAATCTCACTGAATTTCAATACCTCCAGGGCGATAGCTTCATGCCAGGAAGCTATCAGCGTCGGAAATTTCGTGAATGATTCTAGAAAATGACGAATTTGATTCAGGGTAGGTTTCCAGGTCAACAGCCTGTGGATATCCGCCGACCAGGTCAGAAAGATATCTCTTGTAACCCGTGGACTTCATTCCAGTTCAGTACCAACGCCTGTGTATTTAGCTTCCAGTTTATACACTCACCCTCGGGATCGAAGTGACTTTTGCTCTTGCGACTGTCATGTGGGACCAGAAGTGAGCACATCTTGTCCCGTGCTTATCGTTGAGCCAGAGTGCAATGAATTCTTTAAGCCGCGTCTGATTTATTCGAAGCAGAATCCCTTTCCATAATCAACTCTCCAAGGTATTCCAGGTATTCCGCTCCCATTCAGGATCGATCAGGTATGAAAAGTGTGCGGGATCAATGCAACGTGTTGTGCAATTACCTGTTGCCGATTGGCATACGGCGCTCTATAACTCACCGCTATTTATAGAACAGCCTTGGCCATCA